CCCGGCCGGGGGGGTCGAGGAGCTGAGGAGGTGGCGGGAGTGCTGGGAAGGGTCGGGGGCGGGGGGAGAGGTGCCGGACCTGTTTGGCGAAGACGGCGATGTCCTCGTTGAAGGAGTCGGAGGAGCAGACGTCCCCGCCGGCCACGCCGGGCTCCCGGGGCGTGCAGGTCGCCAGCTCGCACTTCTCAAAGACCAGAGCTAAGAGGGGGAACAACGGGTGCCTACCGGGCAGTGGCACACAAAGAGAGGGGAGGGGGTGGGGGAGAGGGGGAAAGAAGAGCTCTAATCAACAAGTATTTTTTTTTAAATGCACGGACACACAGACACGGACACACGGACACAGCCACGCTCTGCAGTCTCGCAGTATTGCTTCGGGCAGAGCAGGGGAGAACAACATTTTGAAATAAAAATGCGGGGTTTGGTGCTGTGGGTTTTGGTTCGTTTTTTTTGCTTTTGAAATCGCAATGCCCGAGCCGCGTCCCCCGTGCAGTCCCCACAGATGAGGACAAAAGTGACCTCTCCTCCAAACGCACAAGGCACCAAACGCGGTCACGCAGGCAGCAGCTCAGCTGGGAATCTTACACTTTTCGCCACAGCTTAAAATAACGCGAAACCTGGAAGATCCCATCCCTACCCTCCAGCTATGACCTAAAATGAGAAGCACGGCTAGGCAAACTGCAAACTACTTAATACGTAATTTTATTTTTCAGGGGGCCTGCTAACAAAAATGTGGTGAAGTTTCCTGGCTTAGGAAGCACACCCAAGTAAAATACCAGCTGTCCAGATAAGTGAGCTGGGGAGGGGGCGGAGGGAGGGAGCACTTCGCGAAATATTTTCCCATAGTTGGTGTAGTCAGAAAAAAAATATTTTATCTGCGTGCTAAGTAGTAAGCATGCATTTGTCTCTTTTCCCCTCTGGTGCCTGATCAAGGCCCCGCACTCTGTCATAGATGTTACTATCTCTCCTTTTAGGATCATTTAGTATTTTTTCTAAAAGGCACTGAAGGGAATCGGTGTCATTCCCCCCAAGCAATGCCCTGGCACAGGCTTGAGTTTTGTTGGGTACGTGTTTCTTTTTCCTCATGTTCTTTCTTTCCTAAATAGAAAACTCAGCTCAGTGCCCCCAGTGTATTTATTTCTTCTGTCTCAGGGAAGAGCTGCTTGCGAGAAGCGAATCCCTTTTATTCTTACTACCTTCCGCGATGTGAATAGCTCTTTATTTACAGTGTTGGAAGAGTGTTATTATGGCACGAAGGAGAACACCAGAACAACACTTCTCCGGCTAAAATCCAGAGCAATGAGAGCCACCTCTCCTGTCTGAACTCCTAACTGGGGCCTTTCCGAGAAAGACAAAAAACCCGCGGGAAAAAAATGAAAAAAGGAAAATAAAAAGAAAAAAAATAAAAAAAGAAAAAGAGAAAGACAAGGCAACAACACCTCTCGCCAGTCCAGCCTCTCTCCCCGAGAGGTCTGTTTTTCCAGGACCCGTTTGCCGTGGGTGCTGGCACCTCAGCTAAGAGTCAGGCTGGGATTGCACTCGCCCTGAAATTGCCAGCAGTGGCAGTGCCACCGCGCGGGTCTCCC